GTGTTCTAAATATCATTTTAGTTGTATAAAGTATTAGTAAGTCCACCCCCGGCTGTATATACTCCTTGCCGCACCTACCCGCACGGGCAAGGCAACGATAGACAGCACTTCTCCCTTGTAAATAGTTTTAGGCTTATAGATACCACCCCCACCCTACCTAATCTGGGCCTAGCCCAACACACCGCCCCCTACTTCTCTACCCCCCATAAACGACATTTGTCACACCAGCCCTAGAAATGCAGACTGAAACAGGAACAATGCCACAGTACCAGACTCCAATGGCCAATGTACGCATAGTTGCACTAAATGTCAGAGGCCTAAACACCCCTGAAAAACGCTCCATGACACTTAACGAACTACGAACACTTAAGGCGGATATAGCCTTTCTGCAAGAAACACACTTCAAAAAAGGGACAGCCCCCACCCTCAAAAACAAAAGATTCCCGACCAGTTACTTCAGCAACTTCACCGACACTAAGGCGAGAGGAGTAGCGATTCTATTCTCGGCCCAGGTGCCCTTTACATACTCCTCCCATAAATCAGACGACTCTGGGAGACTACTTATGGTCAAAGGCCAAATAGGCCAATACACAGTCACACTGGTAAACACAACCTACCAAACAGACAACAGTGCAAAGTGTTCAAATACCAACTCAAAGCCATAGAACACTTCACGGAGGGCATACTAATCCTAGGCGGAGACCTTAATCTCTCCCTGGACTCACGTATGGACACAACGTCTCGCGCCACGGAATACCAAACCTCTGCTCGCACACGGATGGCCAAACTCCTAGATGCGGCTCAATTATATGACTGTTGGCGCACCACACACCCAACGACCAAAGACTTCTCATTCTACTCAGCCACTACGCACACATACTCTAGACTGGACATGTTCTTCCTTCCACACAGATTCCTCCATTTAACACAATCAGCCAACTACGGATCAATTACATGGTCAGACCATGCGCCCCTGTCGCTAGCCTTACACATACCCACCATCCCGCAAAAGTCGTTCCAATGGAAGCTAAATGACCTTCTCCTCAACAATCAAGAAATAGTCTCACAATTGGACGCCTCTATAAAAAAACTACTTTATCACCAACACCACCGCCTCCTCACCTCCGCCCATCACGTGGGAGGCCCATAAATGTGTGCTACGAGGAGAGATAATAGCCCTGTCGGCGAGACACAAAAAAATCAGGGAGGCCAAAATCCGTACCCTTACGGAAGAAATAAGGACATTAGAAACCCTACTTAAAAGAGATACACGCCTGAGCACCTACACAACCCTCACAGCCAAACGATCAGCATTACAGGACATACTGAATGCCAAAACTAAACGCTCACTTATGCTAACAAAGCACTCATATTATGCTCACGGAAGCAAATGCGGTCGTCTACTAGCAAACTCCCTCAAACAACATAGACAGTCGACTTTCATCCCCAAAATCAAAACTCCCTCAGGAGACATGTCACATAAACTACCAGATATACTGACGGCCTTCCATGACTTTTACACCAAGCTCTATAACCTGAAAGACACCCCCCCCCCACTCAAAGACATTGAACACTTCCTAACCAGTAGGATCCGTCAGACTATACCCGCCAACGCCCTTCCCTCACTGGAAGAACCAATATCCCCCGACGAAGTTGCCCTAGCCATACGACACCTTAAACTTGGGAAAAGCCCGGGACCTGATGGCTTTACAGCCAAATACTACAAGACATTCGCGACCTCTCTATCCGATCCCTTCGCCCAGGCATTTAACTCCCTAGCCCACTCAACTACACTCCCCACAGCATCTCTGGAAGCACACATAGCCCTTATACCAAAACCCGGTAAGGACCCGACCAACTGCGGTAGCTATCGCCCAATCTCCTTAATAAACCTAGACGTAAAGTTATTCACGAAAATACTAGCTACTCGCTTGAAACCACTATTGAGAACCTTAATACACCAAGATCAAGCGGGCTTCGTCCCCAACAGAGAAGCAAAACATAATACAACTAAAATTTTAAGTTTAATATACCTTGCAAAGCACCAAAAGACCGAGAGCCTTCTACTCTCAATCGACGCGGAAAAGGCGTTCGATAGGGTGGATTGGTCATTATTGACGGCCACTCTGCGTCGGCTGGGATTCGGACCCCGGTGGCAGGAGTGGATGGAGGCCATATACTCTACTCCCACGGCCCGATTGAGAGTGAACGGACAGCTATCAGAACCAGTACACATTCGCAATGGCACAAGACAGGGCTGCCCTCTATCCCCCCTTCTCTTTATCCTCGTACTAGAACCTTTCTTAAGTGGAATCAGAAACAACCCGGACATTAAGGGCATCCACATACGAAACACAGAGTACAAAATCTCGGCGTTTGCTGATGATCTGCTCTTCACCATACAAACACCTATCACCTCACTACCCCCTCTCCTCGAAGAAATCAACCTATACAATACACTCTCCAATTTTCAAGTCAATTTCTCAAAGAGCGAAATACTACCACTCCAAATTGCCCCCACCTCAAGCACCAACCTGCAAGCTAAATTCCCATTCAAATGGGCAGATAAATCCATCACATACTTGGGAATTCGCCTCTCAGCAGATTTATCCTCCTTATACGCCCTGAACTACGACCCACTGTACCAAGCCATAGCAAAAGATCTACAAGCCTGGCATAAACCGCAATTCTCATGGCTCTGTAGAATTAATATTCTTAAAATGAACTCCCTTCCTAAGATACTCTACCTCTTCCAAACCTTACCAATAGCTATACCCAAGTCCTTCTTCAATAAGCTTAGGCAACTATTCACTTCCTTCATTTGGGCACACAAACAACCTAGAATCCCATATGAGGTTCTCACCAGACACAGATCATGTGGAGGACTAGGCCTCCCACACATGGAACGATACTACAAGGCAGTCACTCTTACTAGGATATACGACTGGACCGAACACCCACCGACACGACAATGGGCAACCCTCGAAAATGCGGTAAGCCAAGCACCTCTCTTTACACTCCCATGGCAGAGAACTACTCCTGCAAAACTACTTTCATACTGTGACGCCCATCCCACCATTTCACAAACACTTAGGACGTGGACAAACATGCGTGAGGCCTGGAACATTTCCCCACACCCATCCCCCCTCTACCCCATCACATACAACCCACTCTTCCCCCCAGTAATGAGGCCATGGACATACCAAAGATACAACAACCTGCTGGACACCCCCTACCTGACACTAGGCTCAGTGGTAGAAAAGGACTCAATACGTACACTGACCAGTCTGATAAGCCCCGCGGTCCCACACACATTACAAATGTTTCGCTACGCACAGCTGACTCACTTTCTGAGAACCAATGCAACCCTGCTCAAGAGCCCCCGCACACTATCAGACTTCGAGACATGTTGTCTGACCCGCAACGTCAAAACAAAACAGTTATCGAACTTCTACAAAACCCTACAAGTAGATCATGGCACCCATCTACCCCCCTTCACTGATAACTGGTCAACAGACCTTAACATACAGATCACGACACCACAATATCCCCCCTTCTCTTTATCCTCGTACTAGAACCTTTCTTAAGTGGAATCAGAAACAACCCGGACATTAAGGGCATCCACATACGAAACACAGAGTACAAAATCTCGGCGTTTGCTGATGATCTGCTCTTCACCATACAAACACCTATCACCTCACTACCCCCTCTCCTGGAAGAAATCAACCTATACAATATGTTGTCTGACCCGCAACGTCAAAACAAAACAGTTATCGAACTTCTACAAAACCCTACAAGTAGATCATGGCACCCATCTACCCCCCTTCACTGATAACTGGTCAACAGACCTTAACATACAGATCACGACACCACAATGGCAGACCGCCCTCTCACAAATCCATAAGGCATCTATATGCACTAAGATACAAGAAGGAGGTTATAAGAGATTATCCAGACCATAATCACCCATAATGGTCTGGCTGAGTGACCACACTAACACACAGGCTACGGGACAACCAACACGGCGACATATCACATATACCAACAGGGGGCCTGCTCCAAGACTGACCATAGCCGAGATGGAAATAACACATACGCAATCAGGCAGAAAGGAGAGGACTATTCAAAACACCATGCCACTTCATGACACTACACTCATTAACATACACAGCGCAAATCTAGAACGCCCTCCCTGAGTCAACGAAAGGGCCAGGTTGAAAACATGGTCCAGTCTTGGTCTACACCGGGTTATGAGTCTCAATATGTTGTTTTAGCTTCTGGAGCTTTACTGACAAATGTATACCTCCTGCTAAACCCCCTCCTACTCAACACCGCATTTACCCTAAAATGCACCAACCTAAAATTGTATTATACTAACAGAATGTCAATGGTCACCCTGATGTAAATGAACACCCTCCCCCCCTTTCCCTTCTTCCCCTATATACCCCCCTCTGACCCGATTGTGACCAGTCATCTAATATGTTTAATTCATGTTATCGGATTTACCACCGGTCTGAAGATAAGATTTATGTTCCTTGTACATGTACTCACTACTAACGCTTATCACTACTACCGATATATTTCATGTTTTAGCAAACTGTGAGTGTGAAGACATAATCAAGCTCATCACCGAACACTTTGTGTCCTCACCGCCTAATTAAAAACAAAACAGTGCTAAACCGAATGTATACCCCACTGTAACTATTGTATGAAGCGCATGGGGATTGCCTTTGGGGTACCCCATGCAATGTTTGTTATCACATATGCACTGCAAAAATAAAAATATTTTAAAAAAAAAAGTATTAGTAAGTCACCTAAAATGTAATTTTTTTTTTACAGTTACTGACATGTCAAGTTTATCCATGTTACCGCAATGTAGAATATGATGACACTTTAGACATTGTAATAGTCAACTGTGAGAACTCATTAACTAAATTACACCATTTGTATAATAACTGAGAATTCAAAAATACAAGTAAACACTTTAGTACTTTGTAGGTCTTGTTTATTGTTAAAAGAACAATATTATTTTTAACAGTAATATTCTTCAAAGAACATTTATCCTGATTCTATAACTGAGCACAGGTAATTTGGTAAAATACAATGTTTAATGTGTGAAATGTCTACAAATATATTTGACAGCAAAAATAATCATCACATTTTTGTTTTTTATTCATTTAACTATGTTGGAAGAGAATAATAGAATGCATGGGCTGATAATGTTTATTTTAGTCTTTATCTGAAATATTCTATATTTCTGGAATTTGGAGAAAAAGGTTAGGGAACTAGCTATGGATTTACATTTACACACAGGGCTGGATTAACATAGGGGCTGATGGAGGTGCAGCTCCAGGCCCATGGAATAGGCCCATTAAAAATTTTTTTTATTTTTTTTATTTTATTTTTTACACACTCTACTCTTAGGTTTGCCACCTGGCTGGTATTTTAAGGCACAGCTGGTATTTGAGGCTACATGGCCGTGATGGTCTTGCAGTAATACCGGCAATACAAATTTACAAATTTTTCTCAGTATAAACGGAGGTTACTCTGCAATACCAGCACCGGCCAGGCAGCCTCAAATACCAGCTGTGCCTTAAAATACCAGCCAGGTGGCAAACCTAAGAGTAGAGTGTGTAAAAAAAAAATAAAAAAAATTTTTAATGGGCCTATTCCATGGGCCTGGAGCTGAGTATGGAGAGAGGCAGGGATAGGAAGTTACAGCATATCCCTCCCTGCCTCTCTTTACTCACTGATACGCAGGGGAGCAGCTACACAGCACAGAGAGTTCAACAGCAGCTCCCAGCCTGCAGAGACAGACTACAGTTCAGGAAAGTGAGGGGTGAGGGGAAAGGCAGCAGGGAGACATAGGGACAATGAGACACTAGGGGACACATGGTGACACATGGTGACATTGAAACACTAGGGGACACTGGGAGACATGGGGAAACTATGACACATGGGGACACTGAGACACTAGGGGACACTGAGAAACATGGGGACGCTGTGAGACTGTAACGAGAATATACCCCTACACGCAGGATCCAGCTAAACAGAAGCCAATACAGAGGAGAGATACGTCTACCGGACCTTAGAATGGCCGGACTCGACGTATATGAGAGGAGACAGAGCCAGGAACAAACCGAGGTCAAGGGCACAGAGAGACAGCGTAAACTAGGACAAGCCGGGGTCTGGTACACGGAAAACAGCAAGCCGGCAAACAGTACAGATAAGGATAAAGCGAAAACGAAGTCAGAATACGAAGCCAAAGTCAATACGAGAAAACACAACTGAACACCACAAGCGCTAAAGGGAACTGAAACAGAAACCACGATAGGGCAACGAGCTAAGGGAAAAAGGTAAGTTTAAATAGCTTTAAAACGAAAGTGATTGGCTCCTGTCACTTCCACACCCCCTATAGGTAATTGTACAGGGAGTGTGGTATGACAGGAGCCAATGGGAGCCTTTTGGCAATTAGGCTCCCACTGTCTCTTTAAGAGCGCGCCCGAGACTCGCGGCGCGCTCTTAGTTTCAGGCGGGACACGTGACCGCTTCACGCGGTCACTGCCCGCCTTCCATCTAAAGCAGTCGGATGAGCCGCGCGCGGCTCGTGCAGCCGCAGGACCGCGCGTGGCTTGAAGAGAGGACCGCGACCGGCCCCCGGTTAAGGTAAGTAACGCTACAGTACCCCCCCCTGAGGACACGCCCTCCGGCGGGTAGGACCAGGCCTGGCAGGAAAACGAGAATGGAAAGAGCGCACAAGACGGGGAGCATGAACAGCATCAGCTGAAATCCAACTGCGCTCCTCAGGCCCATAACCCTTCCAATGTACCAAGTACTGAAGTCGACCCCTAAGGAAACGAGAGTCAAGAACAGCAGACACTTCGAACTCCTCATGACCCTCCACTGAGATAGGAGGGGGAGGAGGAGTATGCCGGGTATAGCGGTTGCGTACGTAAGGTTTCAACAATGAGGTGTGAAAGACATTAGGAATACGTAGATTCTTAGGCAGGCCTAAGGCATAAGAAACAGGATTAACCTTATGTATAATACGATAAGGTCCAATGAAGCGGGGAGCCAATTTCATAGAAGGCACCCGGAGACGAATATTCCGCGTGGAAAGCAAAACCCTGTCCCCCACAACATAGGACGGAGCTGCTCTGCGATGCTTGTCAGCCTGAGCCTTCTGGCGAGTAGCAGAGTCCACCAAAGAACGCTGAACCTGCTCCCAAGTATTACGCAAACCAGCCAAATGCTCATCCAGAACTGGCATGCCCTGTGAGGAGAATGCAGCCGGAAGAACAACGGGATGCTGGCCATAGACAACGTAAAAAGGGGTCTTGCCGGAAGAATCATGAGTGGCGTTATTCCGAGCAAATTCAGCCCAAGGAAGCAGGTCAGACCAATTGTCCTGATGGTGAGACACAAAACAACGGAGGTATTGCTCCAGAGACTGGTTGGCACGTTCAGCAGCCCCATTAGACTGGGGATGATAAGCGGAAGAAAATGAGAGAGAAATACCCATTTCTGAACAAAAGGCCCTCCAGAACCTGGAAATAAATTGGCTACCCCTATCGGATACAATAGATACGGGAATACCATGTAATCGAAATACTTCTCTAGCGAAGATATGAGCCAGTTCCTTGGATGTGGGCAACTTGTGAAGAGACACGAAGTGAGCCATCTTGGAAAACCGATCCACTATCATCAGGATTACTGTGTTACCATTTGAAGGGGGTAATTCAACAATAAAATCCATGGACAGGTTAGACCAAGGTCTCTCGGGAACGGGTAACGGATGCAACAGCCCACAAGGAACTCTACGGGAGGATTTCATACAGGCACAAGTAGTACAAGCACTTATATAGTCAGTGACATCCTTTCGTAAGGAATCCCACCAAAAATACCGAGAAACAGCTGACACCGTTTTGGAAATACCAGGATGTCCAGCAGTCTTAGTATCATGATATAATGACATAATATCCCGTCTCTCAGGAACATCAACGAACAGTTTATCATTAGGCCTCTCGCTAGGTGCCATGCTTTGTTTCGCTTGTATGGCCTGCAAGAGGGACGAGGAAATAGACAAAATAGTAGTAGCTATTATCCTGTCTGGGGGAATGACAGGAGTAACATCAATCTCCTGTTTGTCAGTAGTTTCGAACTGTCTGGACAGAGCGTCTGCTTTAGTGTTGCGATCACCTGGCCTATAGGTGATAATAAAATTGAAACGGGACAAAAATAGTGACCACCTAGCCTGCCTGGAAGACAATCTTTTGGCTTCGCTAAGGTAGGATAGGTTCTTGTGATCCGTAAAAATGAGGATAGGATCCTTAGTTCCTTCTAACAAATGTCTCCACTCTTTAAGTGCTAAAATAATAGCAAGGAGTTCGCGATTACCCACATCATAATTTTTCTCTGCTTTGGACATTTGTTTAGAAAAGAAGCCGCATGGATGCAATGGCTTTTCAGGCGACTCTCTTTGGGATAAGACAGCACCTACCCCAATATCCGAAGCATCAACTTCAAGAATATAGGGCAGTGAGGGGACAGGATGCTGTAAAATAGGTGCAGAGGCGAACGTAGTTTTAAGAAATTCAAAAGCCTGAAGTGCCTCGGTAGACCAAACACGAGTATTGCCATCCTTTTTAGTCATACGGGTAATAGGTGCTACAATGGACGAGAAACCTTTGATAAAACGTCTATAATAATTGGAGAACCCAAGAAAACGCTGAATAGCTTTCAGACCTTGCGGTAGAGGCCATTCTATTACAGCAGCTAGCTTCTGGGGATCCATACGAAAACCTTTAGCGGAAATCAAATACCCCAAGAACTGGACTTCGGTTTGGTCAAACAGACATTTTTCTAGCTTGCAATAAAGACCATTAGCAAGAAGGGTCTTCAAAACTGTCGTAACATGTCTGTGATGAGTGTGTATATCTGTAGAATATATTAAAATGTCGTCCAAGTATACGATAACAAATGTGTGAATAAAATCTCTTAAGACATCATTAATAAATTCTTGGAATACTGCTGGGGCATTGCAAAGCCCAAATGGCATAACAGTATATTCGTAATGACCGGATCTAGTGTTGAATGCAGTCTTCCATTCGTGATTTTCCTTTATACGTATCAAATTGTATGCACTCCTAAGGTCTAATTTAGTGAACACAGTGGCATGTTTCAGCCTGTCAAATAATTCTGTAATTAAAGGTATAGGGTATGCATTTTTGATAGTGATTTTGTTTAGACCTCTATAATCTATACACAGTCTTAAATCACCTTCTTTCTTCGATACAAAGAAGAACCCTGCTCCAGCTGGAGAAGAGGATCTCCTCATAAACCCCTTTTCTAGTGATTCCTTAATATACTCCTCCATGACACGGTTTTCTTGAACCGATAAGGGGTACACCCTTCCCTTTGGAGGTATAGTGCCAGGCAACAAGTCAATAGCACAATCATAGGGTCTGTGAGGCGGTAATTTCTCAGCCTCCCTTTTATCGAAAACAGTCTTTAGAGATAAATACTGAGGGGGTATAGCCGTAGACAAAGGAGGACTGGTAGGTACCTTAATAGAATTCAAAGGTGTGACTTCAAACGTACAAGACTCGTGGCAGGCCTCACTCCATGATTTTATTTGCCCTGTCTCCCAGTCAAAAATGGGATTGTGAGCACGTAACCATGGATACCCTAATACTAACTGTGAAGAGGGAGAGGTGATGACCTGGAATCGAATGGTTTCATAGTGTAAAACCCCTGTGTACATGTGTAATGGTACAGTCTCATGAGTAACAACTGGAGAACTTAATGGTCTACCATCTATGGCCTCAACGGCCAAGGGTATCTCCTTCTCTCTGATGGGAATGTTGTTTCTCTTTATAAAGCCAGAGTCTATAAAATTTTCAGCTGCCCCAGAGTCAACCAGAGCATATATGTTGTCAACTATACAAATCTCTCCCATATATAAAGAAACCGGGAGAAGCAAGCGGTTAGGAGGCAATTTAGGAGACTTAGATATCACACCCAAGGCCAGTCCCCTATAAGGTCTTAGGTGCGAGAGTTTTCCGGGAGTAAAGGACATTCCTTTACCATATGGTCTCTCCTACCACAGTATAGGCAGAGTCCCTCCCTTCTCCTATGTAATTTCTCAGTATCAGAGAGTTTGGCAACCCCTAATTGCATAGGTTCCTCCTCAGACACTTTAACACTCTCTGGTATATTAACTCTGGGGTTAATGGGTGTAACAAAACGTCTATTCCTGTTCTTGGTATAGAGCCTGTCACGAATTCTATTATCTATATCAATGAGGTAATCAATAAGGTCCTCTAAGGCAATAGGAAGCTCCTTAGCTGCTACCTCATCCAATATCGTATCTGACAAACCTTCCATAAAGGCAGTAGTTAACCCATTGTTGGTCCAATCTACCTGCGAAGCAAGAGTGCGAAACTGAATAGCATAATCAGCCACAGACCTAGAACCCTGTTTAATTCTCATTAATGCTCTCGCGGCATTCTTTGACCTTTTCATTGTGTCAAAAGTTCTACGAAAAGCCGTAAGAAAACTGTTGAAATCATGTACCATAGGTCCATTAGCTTCCCAAATAGGATTTGCCCACTCAAGTGCCTTATCGGTAAGTTGGTGCATAAAGAACCCAACCTTAGACCTCTCTGTGGGAAATGAACGTGGATACATTTCGAAGTGGAATTCAATTTGATTAATAAACCCTCTGCAAGTCTTAGAGTCCCCTCCATACCTGGGAGGAGGTGTTAAATGGGCCGAAGTATTAGGCAAAGTAGATACTTCAGGGAGAAGGGGCGTAGGAGGGTTAGGTGTGGTTGCTGGAACGGTTCTAGCTAGGAGCGTCTGGAGAGCCTGGGCTATCTGATCCATACGGTGATCCTGCTCTACAAATCTTGCCTCATGGGACGCCATCTGTTGAGCTAAATCTGCGGGGTCCATGGCCCTATCGTAATGTAACGAGAATATACCCCTACACGCAGGATCCAGCTAAACAGAAGCCAATACAGAAGAGAGATACGTCTACCGGACCTTAGAATGGCCGGACTCGACGTATATGAGAGGAGACAGAGCCAGGAACAAACCGAGGTCAAGGGCACAGAGAGACAGCGTAAACTAGGACAAGCCGGGGTCTGGTACACGGAAAACAGCAAGCCGGCAAACAGTACAGATAAGGATAAAGCGAAAACGAAGTCAGAATACGAAGCCAAAGTCAATACGAGAAAACACAATTGAACACCACAAGCGCTAAAGGGAACTGAAACAGAAACCACGATAGGGCAACGAGCTAAGGGAAAAAGGTAAGTTTAAATAGCTTTTAAACGAAAGTGATTGGCTCCTGTCACTTCCACACCCCCTATAGGTAATTGTACAGGGAGTGTGGTATGACAGGAGCCAATGGGAGCCTTTTGGCAATTAGGCTCCCACTGTCTCTTTAAGAGCGCGCCCGAGACTCGCGGCACGCACTTAGTTTCAGGCGGGACACGTGACCGCTTCACGCGGTCACTGCCCGCCTTCCATCTAAAGCAGTCGGATGAGCCGCGCGCGGCTCGTGCAGCCGCAGGACCGCGCGCGGCTTGAAGAGAGGACCGCGACCGGCCCCCGGTTAAGGTAAGTAACGCTACAGAGACATAGGTAAACACATTGGGACATGGAGACACTAGGGACACAGTGTCTCCATGTCTCCCAGTGTCCCCTAGTCTTCCAGTGTCTGTGTCCCAATGTCTCCCAGTGTCCCCAAATGTCAGTGTCCACATGTCTCCCAGCCAGTGTCTCAGTGTCCCTGTCTTCCAGTGTCTTTATGTCTCCCATCCAGTATCCCTAGGGTCTCCCGGGGACTGTGTCCCCAAATGTCTCAGTGTCCCCATATTTCTGTCCACAAGTGCCCCCATGTCTCCCAGTGTTCCCAAGTGTCTGTGTCCCCATGCCTCCCAGCGACTCCCTAGTGTCTGTGTCCCCATGCCTCCCAGGGTCTCCCTAGTGTCTCAGTGTCCTCATGTCTCCCAGTGTCTGTGTTCCCATGTCTCTCAGTGTCCCTAGTGTCTTAGTTTCCCCAAATGTCTGTGTCCAAATGTCTCCCAGTGTCTGAGTCCCCATGTCTCTGTGTCCCTAGTGTCTGTGACCCCATTTCTCCCAGTATCTCCAAATGTCTCAATGTCCCGATGTCTCCCACTGTCTCCATGTCTCTGTGTACCCATGTCTGTATCCACAAGTGCCCCCATGTCTCCCCATGACTCACTGTGTCCCCTAGTATCCTAGTGACACGGGAAACAGTGAGACATGGGGACACTGGGAGAAATGGGGACACAGACACTGGGAGACTAGAGGACTGGGCGACATGGGGATACTGACACTGTGATACATAGGTACACGGATGCCAGGCTGGCCTTCCAATTCTTTGGATGGGCATACCCCCATTTTGGCACCCCTTTTTGCAGTTCTGGTCACTTGATTCGCATCAGTGGCCTACTCTTTTACCCTGCCCATTGGCTTCCTGCTTCACTGGACACTGCTGTTAGGGGGTATGGATTTACTTAAAAGATGAAAGTATAAATTAGGTAAAGAGATTAGCATTGATTATGTGTTTTCTTATAGCTGCATCCTTTGAGTTTCCCTCCAACACCAACTCCATCAGATACATGCTGCTTGAGAGGTATGACTGTTTTAGTGTTTTTGGTTGATAAGATTCTGTAATTAGGCCCCATCATAATTGTCAGCACCAGGCCCACTGGGCTCTTAATCTGGCCCTGTTTACACATTGCACTAGCTATCGTCATTATCATGATATTATACATACAGTGTCCCCTGACCAAGTTACTTCTCAAAAAACAAACAAAAAAAAAAACCTTTCCATTGTGGCTGGTGGGGTCACCAGTGTAAAGATATATATATATATATTTTGTATAAAGCACCAGGATGGATTAGGTTTAAAATGTATGTTTTTTAAAAGTGAAGTAAGATTTTTTTTGCAACCCACATCATTATCATATCTTGAAGATGACAAAAACTGTATACATTATTTGACTTCTGCGGTATATATTTTATTTTGACCACTACATTTTACCTAATGACATTCAAAAATCAGTTTAAGGGGGACTCTGTTATGGTACTGTATTTAAAGTGACACGCAATGCATATAACAGCTTATACTGAATACATAAAGGGAATCAACACAGTAAAGGAGGAGACTATATTTAAAAGAAGAAAGACTACCACAACAAGAGAACAGTCTTAACCCCTTAAGGACGGAGCCAAATGTACAAGTTGTGATCAAACCAAAATGTAAACAAACCACAGAATTTGACTCTCTGTCTGTTCAACTATAATATACCTCTTTCATACTAAGTGCACCCACACTTATTATATATCGGTTTGCTCAGGGGAAACAGGGCTTTCATTCCATATCAAACATTCATATATAGAACTCCATTTTATATGAATAAAATCTAAAAAAGTTAAAAAACTTAAGAAATTTTTATATTTTTCAATTTCTGCATGTCAATTTAACTGATAATGTCACAATACTGTTTGGTTTTACTGCAATAAAACATACATATTTGTATTCAGAAATGTCTCATGAGTAAAACAGTACCCCCCCATGTATAGGTTTTATGGTGTTTTTGAAAGTTACATGGTCAAATATACGTCTTGTCTATTTATTTATTTATTTATTTTTTACATAGAAATTTCACAGATTGGTTTGCTGGGCTTAGGTTGCCTTTGAGACCGTATGGCAGCCAAGAAATGTAAGTTACGCCATCATGGCATACCATTTGAAAAAGTACACATCCCAGGGTATTCAAAATGGGGTATGTCCAGTCTTTTGTAGTAGCCACTTGGGCATAAACGCTAGCCAAAGTTAGTGTTCATTTTTTTTTTTTTCATTTTTCAAATAAAAACTGTATTTTTGCTGATAATATTATTGTCAGTATATAGTTTACTGCCCTGAAACACTCCTAGTTCTATTCAGTGATGTCTCACGAGCGGCACGGTATGCCCTATGCATTGGTTTTAGGCGTTTTTTGAAAGTTACAGGGTCATATATACGGCTTATCCATTTATGCTTTTTCACAATGGAATTTGTCAGATTAGTTTGCTGTGTCTAGGCTGCCTTTGAGACCGTATGGCAGCCAAGAAATGAAAACTACCCCTTAATGGCATACCATTTGAAAAAGTAGACATCCCAAGGTATTCAAAATGGGGTATGGCCAGTCTTTTGTAGTAGCCACTTGGGCACAAATGCTAGCCAAAGTTAGTGTTCCGGTTTATTTTTTGCGTTTTTCACATAAAAACTGTACTTTTACTGATAATATTAACGTCTGTATATAGTCTACTGCCCTGAAACCCTCCTAGTTCTGTTCAGTGGTGTCTCACAAGCACCACGGTACCCCCCATGTATAGGTTTTATGGGGTTTTTGAAAGTTACAGGGTCATATATACGGCTTATCCATTTATGCTTTTTCACATTCAAATTTGTCAGATTAGTCTGATGTGACAAGGCCGCCTTTGAGACCGTATGGCAGCCAAGAAATGAAAATTACCCCTTAATGGCATACCATTTGAAAAAGTAGACATCCCAGGGTATTCAAAATGGGGTATGGCCAGTCTTTTGTAGTAGCCACTTGGGCACAAATGCTAGCCAAAGTTAGTGTTCCGTTTTTTTTTTTGCGTTTTTCACATAAAAACTGTACTTTTACTGATAATATTAACGTCTGTATATAGTCTACTGCCCTGAAATCCTCCTGGTTCTGTTCAGTGGTGTCTCACAAGCACCACGCTACCACCCATGTATAGCTTTTATGGGGTTTTCGAAAGTTACATGGTCATATATACGGCTTATCCATTTATGCTTTTTAACAATGGAATTTGTCAGATTAGTTTGCTGTGTCTAGGCTGACTTTGAGACTGTATGGCAGCCAAGAAATGAAAATTACCCCTTAATGGCATACCATTTGAAAAAGTAGACATCCCAGGGTATTCAAAATGGGGTATGGCCAGTCTTTTGTAGTAGCCACTTGGGCACAAATGCTAGCCAAAGTTAGTGTTCCGTTTTTTTTTTGCGTTTTTCACATAAAAACTGTACTTTTACTGATAATATAAATGTCTGTATATAGTCTACTGCCTTGAAACCCTCCTAGTTCTGTTCAGTGGTGTCTCACAAGCACCACGGTACCCCCCATGTATAGGTTTTATGGGTTTTTGAAAGTTACAGGGTCATATATACGGCTTATCCATTTATGCTTTTTCACATTCAAATTTGTCAGATTAGTCTGATGTGACAAGGCCGCCTTTGAGACCGTATGGCAGCCAAGAAATGAAAATTACCCCTTAATGGCATACCATTTGAAAAAGTAGACATCCCAGGGTATTCAAAATGGGGTATGGCCAGTCTTTTGTAGTAGCCACTTGGGCACAAATGCTAGCCAAAGTTAGTGTTCCGTTTTTTTTTTTGCGTTTTTCACATAAAAACTGTACTTTTACTGATAATATAAATGTCTGTATATAGTCTACTGCCTTGAAACCCTCCTAGTTCTGTTCAGTGGTGTCTCACAAGCACCACGGTACCCCCCATGTATAGGTTTTATGTTTTTTTTTGAAAGTTACAGGGTCATATATACGGCTTATCCATTTATGCTTTTTCACATTCAAATTTGTCAGATTAGTCTGATGTGACAAGGCCGCCTTTGAGACCGTATGGCAGCCAAGAAATGAAAATTACCCCTTAATGGCATACCATTTGAAAAAGTAGACATCCCAGGGTATTCAAAATGGGGTATGGCCAGTCTTTTGTAGTAGCCACTTGGGCACAAATGCTAGCCAAAGTTAGTGTTCCGTTTTTTTTTTTTGCGTTTTTCACATAAAAACTGTACTTTTACTGATAATATTAACGTCTGTATATAGTCTACTGCCCTGAAACCCTCCTAGTTCTGTTCAGTGGTGTCTCACAAGCACCACGGTACCCCCCATGTATAGGTTTTATGGGTTTTTTGAAAGTTACAGGGTCATATATACGGCTTATCCATTTATGCTTTTTCACAATGGAATTTGTCAGATTAGTTTGCTGTGTCTAGGCTGCCTTTGAGACCGTATGGCAGCCAAGAAATGAAAACTACCCCTTAATGGCATACCATTTGAAAAAGTAGACATCCCAAGGTATTCAAAATGGGGTATGGCCAGTCTTTTGTAGTAGCCACTTGGGCACAAATGCTAGCCAAAGTTAGTGTTCCGGTTTATTTTTTGCGTTTTTCACATAAAAACTGTACTTTTACTGATAATATTAACGTCTGTATATAGTCTACTGCCCTGAAATCCTCCTGGTTCTGTTCAGTGGTGTCTCACAAGCACCACGGTACCCCCCATGTATAGGTTTTATGGGGTTTTTGAAAGTTACAGGGTCATATATACGGCTTATCCATTTATGCTTTTTCACAATGGAATTTGTCAGATTAGTTTGCTGTGTCTAGGCTGCCTTTGAGACCGTATGGCAGCCAAGAAATGAAAACTACCCCTTAATGGCATACCATTTGAAAAAGTAGACATCCCAAGGTATTCAAAATGGGGTATGGCCAGTCTTTTGTAGTAGCCACTTGGGCACAAATGCTAGCCAAAGTTAGTGTTCCGTTTTTTTTTTTGCGTTTTTCACATAAAAACTGTACTTTTACTGATAATATTAACGTCTGTATATAGTCTACTGCCCTGAAACCCTCCTAGTTCTGTTCAGTGGTGTCTCACAAGCACCACGGTACCCCCCATGTATAGGTTTTATGGGTTTTTTGAAAGTTACAGGGTCATATATACGGCTTATCCATTTATGCTTTTTCACAATGGAATTTGTCAGATTAGTTTGCTGTGTCTAGGCTGCCTTTGAGACCGTATGGCAGCCAAGAAATGAAAACTACCCCTTAATGGCATACCATTTGAAAAAGTAGACATCCAAGGGTATTCAAAATGGGGTATGGCCAGTCTTTTGTAGTAGCCACTTGGGCACAAATGCTAGCCAAAGTTAGTGTTCCGGTTTATTTTTTGCGTTTTTCACATAAAAACTGTACTTTTACTGATAATATAAATGTCTGTATATAGTCTACTGCCCTGAAACCCTCTTAGTTCTGTTCAGTGGTGTCTCACAAGCACCACGGTACCCCCCATGTATAGGTTTTATGGGGTTTTTGAAAGTTACAGGGTCATATATACGGCTTATCCATTTATGCTTTTTCACATTCAAATTTGTCAGATTAGTCTGATGTGACAAGGCCGCCTTTGAGACCGTATGGCAGCCAAGAAATGAAAATTACCCCTTAATGGCATACCATTTGAAAAAGTAGACATCCCAGGGTATTCAAAATGGGGTATGGCCAGTCTTTTGTAGTAGCCACTTGGGCACAAATGCTAGCCAAAGTTAGTGTTCCGGTTTTTTTTTGTGTTTTTCACATAAAAACTGTACTTTTACTGATAATATTAACTTCTGTATATAGTCTACTGCCCTGAAACCCTCCTAGTTCTGTTCAGCGGTGTCTCACAAGCACCACGGTACCCCCCATGTATAGGTTTTATGTGGTTT